CACAAAGTAGTCTCTCATAGTGTAAACCAGTAACACTTTGGCATTTATTATATTAAGATAACACTCACATCATGATAAAAACACTCATAACATTGAGTGTAAATGCATTAAAATCAATAAGAAGTGATCAGTTGTTGTCTCACCACTACTTCCGGTCTCGGCCATGACATGGCAGTGAAGTCACCCAGCTCCACCCGATGTGTTGCATCACTGATCACATGACTTCATCAGGGTATTTTATGTTTATGTATTCTTTTGTACATGTATGTGAATGCAAATTTATTACTGGATAGATTGAGAGATCAGACCTAAATTAGTCAAATAAGGACGCATTTAGCTTCCATTGTATTTATTTCTAACAGCTCCTACCAGAGTGAGCAATGCATTGGTTATGAGATGAAGAAATGCAGCGCAACAATATCTAAATAAATATAATGGTGCTTACAATCTAATACATATGTGTATAAATAGTGAAAACAGCCTGCTGTGCTTCTGAGATCCTTATATGCTAATCAAGATGTCTCCAATGTATACATATAAACACCCATAGAGAATGCACATAACCAGTGCTATAAATAAATAGTGCACACAAATACAAAACAAACAAACAATCCTAAATGGTGATCTGTCCCTTTAAATCCTAAATACCATCACGTGGACCTGTGTGGTACACTTCCTGTGTATTGTGATCCGAATACACCAACAAAAAGTGTCAACTGAATATAGTCTCAATAATGGTGGACTGTCCCTTTAAATCCGCTGTACTTCAAGTGAACCAATGTAAATACACTACTCCATAAATGTGTACGGTGCTCCTGTGTCACCCCTTAGTGCTCTTCCACCTCCAACACTCTATTGAGCTCACTCCAAGTTTAACCCATAATAACGGGTCAAACTACGCTTTTCCCTTTAACCCAGGAGGGTATAATGGTGCACAGATCTTCACCACCATTTGCCAGCACTTTTAAGCAGATCCAGATCACTCCATTTCATTTCATTTACTTTGTTACATGTGGGAACACATTATATGTTAGATGTAAATTTTTTTTAGGATACTTTATTGCACTGAAGGTTTTCTATTCACAATGCATTGGTTATATATTTAAAAAATTGTATGCTTTTGTTGTTATTTTCGATCATGTGTATCTGAAAGGACTGTAAATATAATGTATGAATATCCTTTGAGGCTCAGGGGCCCTCTATATGCCTCTGTTCCATGTACAGAACACTGTAATTGACAGTATGCCAGTTGCCATTATAGATCTGATACACTCCTTAGGCTAAATCAGTGTTTCTCAACTCCAGTCCTCATGGACCCCCAACAGGTCATGTTTTCAGGATTTCCCTCAGATGAAACAGCTGTGGTAATTACTAAGGCAGTGAAACTGATCAAATCACCTGTGCAAAATAATGGAAATCCTGAAAACATGACCTGTTGGGGGTCCATGAGGACTGGAGTTGAGAAACACTGGGCTAAATGCATCATACAGCTTCTAGTTGTAGGAGATGGCAACACTGTGGAGTAATGTTATGTGGCCAATTTACATGATTACATGGTTGGGTGGGGCTGGCTGTGTGTGTGGGAAGTGGAAAGTTAAAGGTCCAGAGACCCCCCTATGCACAGGTCAGGACAGGTGTATGGGCCCTAAAAAATGGAGACCTGACACCATCAAAGATTTCATTGCCAGGGTGAGGAGGGCTGAGAGACTGGCTACCAGCACTGAGTAAGGGGAGAAGCCTGTCAGTGTTGGTCTCATTGATGGGGGAACACTGGAAAAGATCATTTTCATCCTTCTCTGGCACACCCACTGGTACTGTGGGTGAAGGGGAAGAGAGTTTACTGGAAATGTCAGTGTGTGTGTGCATGCGTATGTGTAAGTTTTCCAACCACTGATTGCAGCATTTATTCTTATTATGGATACTAGGCCATTTAATGAAATGGTGGGGCATTTTTATTTTTTCCTGCTGGCAATGGCTCAGTGCATTTGTTCTCCCACTTACTAATGATGCCAAGAAAGTTTGCTTCTACAGTGACTCCCAATAACAGGGCAGTTTTTTTCCTTCAATTGATCAATATTACCAGGCATTTTTCATTCCATTTACCAATGATGCAGGGCATGTTATTTTTCCCATTGACCACCAACATTTGAGATTTTTTCCACCCAATGATTAGCAGAATAAGGGGCACCAAATTACATAATTCCTACTGCTACACCATGTAAACTATGTAGTATGCTACATACCCTTGCTTACTCAGACTCCTGCAGTCTTTACAGTATGACATAAGTCACATATTCCTTACTGATGCATTCTGTAAGCTGGGATGTACATTACATATTACTGACTAAAGTGTTTATTGTCTCAACAGTTGATGGTCGTTAAGTAGCACACAAGTATTTTCATTGAAGTTCTAGAAGGTTGGCTTAGTCAAAAAGCATATGTGAAGGGTTTCTAAAATTGAGATTTGGTCCTAAGGTTTATGTATCTGTGGTTCAGACTTCTTCAAACCTATGTAACTAAACCATGTCCCTCTAAACCAAACCCAATATTGAAGTTCAGTGAAATATGTCAAATGGTATTGTAAAAGCAGGTCTAATTCTTGAACATTTTGAAACTAAAATATGTCCCTTTTTACTTCTCAAAAGTTTAGAATGATGTGCTGTAAATGTTTAAAGACTTAAAATATTAATAAATTATAGTTATTTTACCATGGTTTTGCTTATGCTACATTAACTTATAAATCTACACTGTGCATATAGACATTATTTTCATAAATTATCAACTGATTTGTGTTTCTAACATATGAATATGTGTTACTGAACTTTTCCACTGCACCAACTTATGACCTAATATAACTCACAACTAAGATGATTTTTAAGTAAGAAAAACAAATGCAGCCAAATCAATGAAATATATATTACACTTTAAACAAAGTACTTCAATTACCTCTCTCTGTTATTGATGTGGTACATTTAACCATCCTGTATAAATGAATATGAAGTACAGCACTCACTAAGGTTAACATCAAAGACATTTTTTTCTATAATCCTTGGCTTATAATAGATATAAGAAAACAACCTAAGCAAACTTTAGAAGTTTACTTTTTTTCCAGACAGAAATGTAAAACGCTGGTACCAGTAGTATTTAAATATTTAAGAAGTTACTTTGATAAATTCAATAAATTAGCCATCCAAGTTAGAAAGATCATTCTTTTTTCTCTCTTCTATATTTAGATACTGTAGATGCATTATTCTTTGGTATATAAATTTTTCATATAAATTATATAGTTTACATATTCAGGTATTTAGTAATGACACATACACTATAGTAAAGGTTCTTTTCTTCTATCCCAAAGTAATTAATGTAATTAATATACCAGGTACACATTTGCAGAGAATCTTGTACATTTCTGGGTATGTGAACCATTCACTGTTTAGCAATGTACACAAGGAAACAGTTATTCATCGTTTTGAATTTTGGAATGCATCTCTGAACTTCTGTTGTTTACCTAGTGTTCACATTGTTGGGTAGGGCTGGGGAGAACACAGCTGTCATGGTACACATTGATATAAATGATAAAGTTAAAGGAGAATGGATCAACCTAAAAAATAAATTTCAGAGACTTAGCTCTCAGGTTAAAGAAAAGAACATCCAAGGAAGTATTTTCAGAAATACTCCCTGTACCACAAGCCACAACAGAGAAGAGGAAGGAGCCTAGGGAGCTGAACAAGTGGTTTAGAAACCTGTGAAAGAATGAGAATTTGGGGGTTTTGGAGAACTGGGAACATTTTTCTGCTGGCTACTGGCTCTGCTGTAGGGATGGACTCTTAATGGGCAGCTCTGTTAAGGGAAAACTGGTTTGAAGGTCTGAAGAGCTGATAAAATTGGATACGGTAGGGATAAAAAAATGAATATATAGAGAGCAAGAGTCAAAGAGGGCATGAGATATAGAGTAGGGTAGAACAGAGAGTGAATTTGGGTTTAAATTAGATGGCAGGGACAAGTATTTTCAAAGGACAATACAGAAAGGGTTGCAGAATCACATTGTAATTCAAGAATGAGCAGTAATAAAATATTAAACTCTAAAACAAAAGTAAAATGTATGTTCTCTAATACAAGAAGTCTGATAAAACAAAATGGAAGATTGCCAAACCATGAAAATTGAGTTCTGCATATAGCGTGAGAATTCTCACCATAGAAGTCCTTCCCAGGTAGGAACCTTGGAAAACGGGAATAACCATCTCAGAAGGACTCCTAAGCGCATAGGCAATTATGCTACTATATTTAGGTAACATACAATTAGGAAATAGGAAGTTAGATAAATATGTTAGTTCCCAGTTGGCATATAGTGGGAATATTTTTGTATGTAGATTACCAATGTATATGCACTACTTTTGGAAACACATTGCAATTTAACTTTTTTACCACACAATCTGGTTTGGATAAACACAATGCATTTACAATCTGCATTTGGAGTGTCTTCAACGTTCCACTGACACCTGCTGCAGACCAGGTTCTCCAGCACCATGTTCTAGTGTGGGCAAGCCCTAAATCTGTGCAGGAATAACCTGTACAGGACTTGCTGTATGTACATCAAATTGTAAGTGCCTCCATTTGTACTATCATAGTCACATTTCTTCCAACTTAGATGTTTAGGTCTATTCTGCACAGCACATTCTGCAAAGGCTTGTTATTTCCTCAGCTTATTGCAGGACAATTTCATGGGTCAGATGGTGGAAGAATAAACACTCTGTTGGATCTATTAATTTAAATAACATACTGTATTTGTTTACAGGAGACAGTCAGAGATTGCAGACCTAATACAGGAGATGGTCAGAGACTGCAAACCTACTACAGGAGACGGTCAGAGACAGTAGACCTATTACAGGAGACGGTCAGAGATTGCAGACCTACTACAAGAGACTGTCAGAGACTGCAGACCTACTACAGGAGACGGCCAGAGACTGCAGACCTACTACAGGAGACATACTACAGGAGACGGTCAGAGACTGCAGACCTACCACAGGAGACAGTCAGAGACTGCAGACTTACTACAGGAGACGGTCAGAGACTGCAGACCTATTACAGGAGATGGTCAGAGACTGAAGAGCCGGTACAGGAGATGGTCAGAGACTGAAGACCTACTACAGGGGAAGGTCAGAGACTGCAGACCTACTACAGGAGAAGGTCAGAGACTGCAGACCTACTACAGGAGAAGGTCAGAGACTGCAAACATACTACAGGAGACGGTCAGAGACTGCAGACATACTGCAGGAGATAGTCAGAGACTGCAGACCTATTACAGGAGACGGTCAGAGACTGCAGACATACTGCAGGAGATAGTTAGAGACTGCAGACCTATTACAGGAGACGGTCAGTGGCTGCAAACCTACTACAGGTGATAGTCAGAGACTGCAGAGACTGCAGACATACTACAGGAGACTGTCATAGACTGCAGACCTACAACAGGAGACGGTCAGAGACTGCAGACCTACTACAGGAGACGGTCACAGACTGCAGACCTATTACAGGAGATGGTCAGAGACTGAAGAGCTGGCACAGGAGATGGTCAGAGACTGAATACCTACTACAGGAGAAGGTCAGAGACTGCAGACCTACTACAGGAGAAGGTCAGAGACTGCAGACCTACTACAGGAGAGGGTCAAAGACTGCAGACCTACTACAGGAGAAGGTCAGAGACTGCAGACCTACTACAGGAGACGGTCAGAGATTGCAGACATACTGCAGGAGATAGCCAGAGACTGCAGACCTACTACAGGAGATGGTCAGAGACTGTAGACATAGTAAAGGAGATGGTCAGATCAGAGGCTGCAGACATAGTACAGTAGATGGTCAGAGACTGTAGACCTACTACAGAGACTGCAAGCATGCTGCAAGCATGCCCTAGCAGTGACCGGTTTTCTCCCAGTGTGGAAAAACGCCATTTACCACATGTGTGGACAGAGTTTTACAAAATATAACAAAGTGGCAGAAAGTTGCAGCAGTTCAAATTTCTATCTTACGGTCAATTGCTCAGGCACAGTTAGGAGGGCAGTAGATGGTTAACAAATCTGTGAAGCTGCCAGCCTGCCAGGCTAAATCCTGCAAAGGTAACATAAAAGGAAACCATCAAAAAAATCATGGAGCTTACACAAGACTCTATCATAAACAGCTCTATATACAGTAAACAGCTGAAAGCCATCACTAGTGATGTGTGACACACTCACATGTAATGCCAACTTCAGCGTCTTCCAGAAGTCTACAGATCAGTGTGTTCACCCTCCTGTGTGCAGTGCTAGGGAACATAAATAAAAAAGTACCCCAGTGGGACAAGAGCCAGCAGAGTTGTTCCTCAATCAGAGTGATCATTACCTGAGCCGCACACTGCAGGCTGGAAGGGTGAACAGACTGATCAGTAGACTTCTTGAAGATGCTGCAGCCGACGTGTCAGTGTGTTAATGATGATTTTCAGCTGCTGTTTGTATAGATCTACTTGTGTAGAGTGCTGTGTGATTTGTTTGCTCTGAATATTATCATACCTTCCAGGGAGCCTGTACTTCTTGTATCCTCTGCCTCCCGCCCCCATCCATCCCCGCTCCGGCTGCCAGCATCTTCTCTTCTGAGTCAAATGTGGCGGGCTGGGAAAGGAACAGGTTACAGTGCTGTGCTGACTGGCTAAGGAGTTTGTTGGAGGCGGAGCAGCTTATCCGCAGTCCTTCCCTCCTACTCAGATGAGCAGTGCTATTGGCTGACACACTGCTCATTCAGAAGTACAGTAATTTTACAGATGGTCGGCAACACTGGGGGGGGGGGGGGCAATTGGCTCTGGGGGGGTCATAAATGAAATCTGGAGTGGCGCCACCCACCCCAGCACCCCCCTAGATCTGGTCATGGTCAAGAGGCAGGTGTAGTTGTACTAGGGATGTTCCTGGTTTTATATGGCACTAAGGCTACGTTCACACTAGCGTTGTGTGCAGGTGGCAGAGAGGCATTTTGGGAAGCGTTTTTACCGCTTCCCAAATGCCTCTGCCAATTCTGCACATTACAGCACATGGTGCTGTTCTAACGGGAGCGTTTGTGTCGCGTCGCGTTGCGTCGCGGCAAAACGGACGCCTCTGGTCAAGTCAGGAGGCTTTGAAGCCTCCTATTCTCGTCTATGGTGCCGCTCTGCAAACGCCCGGCTGGCATTTGCGGTGCGGTTGCGACGCGGTTGCGAGGCGTTTGCAGAGCGGTAACACCACTCAAACTGCATTATAGGCATTTGTGGGGCGTTATTAACGCTCGGCAAATGCCTAGCAACCGCCGCTAAACCGCGCATGTGGCGTTTGCGGAGCGTTTGCCGAGCGTTAAAAAACGCTCCGCAAACACCGGACCAACGCTTGCCAAATGCTATAGGGGCATTTGGCAAGCGTTGGTAAAACAGCCAAGTGTGAAAGAGCCCTAAGGAGTGTGTGGTAGATGCCAGTATCTATAATATCTATCTCTATACCATGGAGAATATTCTTCAGAGCTTTGTAAAAAGAACAAAATGTTTTCCTGTAGAAATATATAGAACAGAAAGATTGATATTTGAGCTCAAAGTCTTCATTATAATCTCATTTACTGGATCAAGGTTCTTGAGCAGCAGGATAGAAAATTAAATAGACTATTAATACAAAATGCAATTCTCCCTAAGTACTATATATCTAATTTTAAAGCATGAAACATACTTTATCAAAATTGATAGCTTTTTCTGTGTAGTATAATGAGACTACATAAAATATGAAAAGATGCTGGAAAGATGCATTACACAACAAATGGAAATGTGTGGCATATGATAGAGAAGAGCCTCAGGCTCTTCTTCTTCCATTAAAAAGACTAGACAGTGTACGTCCTTCTCTCTAGGATAAGTAATACAAGACAAAAGAATATGGTATGATATGCAAAAACAGTATATTTCTACTTTTCTGTAGGGTGACCATTCCCTTTCATCATATTAAGGGTGTTCTATTTGGTCCTTTAGAGCTTTGGGGATTTGTACAGAACTACCAGCCACATAGCAGCATGTCTGCCCTTACTTATTATGGATTATGATTGGAGATCAACTATAATATTTTAATAGAAAACAAAATTGGTTGAAAAGAGCTCTGTATCTTGGCAAGGTCACAGAAGGATTTATGAACAATGAAATCTTATGAATTCATATTAGATTAGGGATATCCAACCTCTAAACAGGCTTTCTTGCTATTATATTTGTGATAATCAGGGAATTAGACATTGTATTTATTATACTGAGAGTCAAATCTTTTAGAGACCTGCATCTTCAGCCTTAGAGCGGTTATAACGTCTCATTTAGTTTTCTAAAATAATAAAAATATTATACTTACCTGCTCTATGCAATGATCTTGCACAGAGCGGCCTGAACTGCCTCTTCTGGAGCCCCCTCTGATGCTCTTGGCTCCTCCTCTTCTGCATGTGCCATCATAGCAAACCACTTGCTATGGGGGTGTACATGTGGGGTCACTCCCAAGCCTTACTGTGTGCATCCGTAGACACACAAAATGCAAGTCGATTGTGCTCCTGGTTCCCTCTTCACAGGATTTTATTGACAGAAGCAGGAGCAAATGGCTCCTGCTGCTGCCTTTCTGTCCTGTGAGGAGAGAGAGAGACCAGTGCCAGTGCAGACAAGCACAGTACTGGATTGAAACTCAGGTAAGTATAATGGGGGCGGGCAACATACATGATGGGACAGTTTTACCCTTAATGAAGGGAATGCATTATTAAGGTAAAAAAAATTCTTACCTTTACAAATAAGAAATGTAAAATCCAAAAGCCCCAACCTACGCGTTTCATCATCCGATGTCCTCCAGGAGCTCCTGGATGATGAAACGCATAGTGAGGGCTTTCGGAGGTGATGTCACCACATATTACGGTCAGCTTTCAGCAATTGGAGTGACCAGAGACTACTTGTTTCTTTCCACATGCTGATTATACTAGTGTCGTTGATGACACTGAAAAATGTGGGTGTGGTTTTTAAAATGAATAAAGCGTTTTAAATGGTTTTACGCTATGGAGTTCCCTCTTTCTTTCCTTCCATACGGTTTCATGTATATGAATGATAAACTCTCAGCCAAAGGGTTATAGGAGTTATACTGACATCTCTGCAGATTGTTGCTCCGAGAGCCAATGCACCGTAGCTGGTTTATGATTTGACCAGCCTGGAGCTCTGGTGAGTTTATTTAATTTGTTTGGTGGTGGAAGAGCACAGTGTGGTGGTGAACACTTTAGGAAACATAAGAATCAAATATATGAATTGAAGGACTTTTTTTTATCACTAATTGTTTACAGTATGGTATGATAAAATATATATATGACAATAAATATATATATCTTTTGCACAAATTGGTACATCAATGTTATATGTCTTATGATGGGGGTGTTTTATGATTTGGTATATCAATTAGAATATGTGAATTTTTTGATACATATACACTTTTTTAGTGTTTTTGCATTTAGCACTTTTGGTTTTGCACTTTAGCATTTTTCTTTTACGGTTTGCATACCTATATAAGCTTGGTATATTGAGAAGAGCATACTATCAGGGTGTTGGGGAGTGCTGTTTAATTCCTTTTATTCAGTTATACTGTTTAGAAGAAGACATGCATGAATGCTGTGGGTCAGGGGCGGACTGACCATTTGGAAACTCGGGCACTGCTCGAGGGCCTGGGGTCAGTAGGGGGCCCCATGAGATGCCCCTGTTACCTTTTTCATAGGCTTTTTTGAGTTTGGGCAAGGACACAGGGGCCCCATGATCCCCTATTGCCCGGGGGCCCCATGAGTTGTCAGGCTGCCCCTGCTGTGGGGTCACATGAACAATACAAGATGACAAAAATTTTGAAAATATTGTTCCATAGAAAAATTAGACATATGGTATGATGCACCCCATGATGTGCCTCCATCCCTAATACAAACATATCAAATCCATATACACATAATTTTGCCCTGGGACTTTAAATGAAGAGCAACATATATTACAAAAAATAATAGCCAATTTTATTAGTAAGTACAATTGACATAAAATAACATAAAAAGATCCCATCCCATATGGAAGAAAAATATATTTGAAATATATTTGAAAAATATTCTTCCCAAATATATTGACATATATTTGAAATGCTACAATGTTGGCCATATTCAATATATTTCAAAATATATTTTCAAATATATTCTTCAGATTTTTTTTTAACATATAAAAAAGTCATTTTAACATATATTTTTACATATATTTGTAGATTTGTATTTTTAAAGACATACAGTATATTTGAAATGTATTTTGTAATAAAAACGCATTTCAACATACAGTGTATATATACTGTATATATATATATATATATATATATATATATAT